TTGCAGGACTGGCCTAGGGTAATTTTTAGGGGGGTTTTAATTATATTTTAAAATTCGACAAATATTTAAATATTCCTTTTAATTAATTTTAAATTTGTATTGTTTTGTATGTATTTTAAATAGATTGTCAGCCGCCCTGAGTCCTACGGGAGAAGGGCGGGATATAAATCCAAAAAATAAATAAATAAAATAAATAAATGTTTTAAAGGGCAAAATCTAGCATATTCATAGGCCAACCATAGGAAATCTGTATTTCTAGTTATGTGCACAATTTTCTAAAATCAGGGATTAAATACTCATAATACTTACTACTGGCAAGCGTCCATGAACTTTGTATGCATTAACAAGCACTGTAATATCCCATGGGCGTAACATTAGAGGATTAACTTGTTTCAGTGATGTATCACGCTCTTTTTTGTTAGCATCCACTCCAACTGCTGTCCATCCAGAACTTGAAGATGTTGACATAGACAGTACAGGGCTTGCAATGACTTCTTCAAAATCAGTATACATATCATCTTCACCAAAATAATTTTCCTAATGAGATGAATTAACAGTATTTATTTAAACAATATAATATAAATAGGTTACAACAAGGAAAAAATAACAGTGTAAAGTATAAATATATAATAATATAAAATTAATAGGTAGATATGTTGGATATGTTAATCACCTTTAATTATTAAAAATAATAAAGATGGGATAAAAATAAATAAATAAACCTTCATACCTTAGTATAGCTTCCTATAGCAAGTCATTTAGAAATATTAATTTTCATTTCTTAATTATACAGAAATAGTCCACATATTACCACATATACATAACGTTTTAGAGATTAAGGAGGGTTTTTTCCAAATATTTTAAGTAATTGGAAAGCTGGGGGTGATGAGTAGAAGAAATCAAATATTGGAGTTGTTGGTAAACTAGGAGCTCTCTTTAATATTGTCTACTTTGTGAAACAGCAGCTTTGGAGACATTTGATTCTGTTCTCGTTAGTTAGAAATGTATAAGTTATGATTTAACACATTTGAAGGACACCCCAAAATGGAAGGCTGGTTGGAGATTGTCTTCATTTGCAAAGTAAGTTATAATTAGAAAATATTGTTCTACATTTTTTAATAGGATACAAGGCCCATGTATATTTTACAATCCAGAGAGAGCTCATACCTTTATAGACAGGAATGCTTTTAAAAGTGGTCCATATAAAGTTATCTGGGAATCTGGGGAAATCTCTAGTTCTACACGAAGCTTGTCAGGTGGAAGTTCAGAGGGGTCAACAGGAAGGCGGGAAGAAGCTGAAGAAGATGTTCCTCCATCTGCCATTTTCTGTGATGGTCGCTGGGCAGATAATATGGTTTCTTCCATTTCTGACACTTTATAAATGAACAAGTAAAGCAATTGTGAATACTGATATTTCACCAATGTACTAGTGAAAGTAAAATCTGTTTTTTTTTTAAATCAGAATACTACTGAACAAATCTGAAGAAAATAAAAGCAATATAATTTGTTTGATTGTTGGTGTTTCATATTATTTTAAATTGTATTTCTAAACTAACCTGGAAGATCTAAATGCAAGCTTTTCTTTTAAAGTATAAATAATTCAAATTGACATGCCCAATAAGAAAGCATAATAGTATTTTAGGCTCTGGATTCCCTAAATGTGTCAAACTCGCCACATCATGTGACGACTTTTTTCGCATTGCTGGAACTGGGGTGGGCGTGGCCTCCGCATGAGGTAACCAGCCCACGAGCTGGCAGTATGACACCCCTGCCCTAAAGGGTAATAAATGAAGGAAAACTATGATAGGATTCATTTTATATACTTTTTCTTTTCAAATTTTTAATGAGGCACAAAGTAATTTTATCATATGGTACATTTAGAAATGATAAAGAATGAACAGTTGATCTTATCTGTTTGATATTAAAGCTACAAATGTGATTTTGAATTTGCTCCTTATATTTTTTTTAGTATGATTATCTGCTTTGTTTGTTTGATACAATTCTACAATACTTCTCAAGCAATTGCACTTCAAAGTACTTTACACTGAAACAGATTTAAAACTATTTTTATCATATGTTTATATTTCTAACTGCCCAGAAGCCTTGTACAAAACAGAAAAGAAAAAAAAACTATTTTTTGGCAGGGCTCTTTTTTTCTGGAGGCAACAAGGGAAGAAGAGAGGCTATGATTGGCATGTGGGAAGGGGAAGAGGGCAGGAAAGCACCAGAGAGACCTGGACACTGATAGGGACAGAGAGGCATGTCAGTGCTTTTATTCTTACTTTGCCAACCTGGGTAGGGAATGTGTTTTTGGATTGGGGAGGGAGGATTGGGGAGGAGAAACTGGGGCCTTCCAGGCATGCATATTGTAGGGGGGAATATCTAACTCAATAAAGGTGTTGGAAGGCAGGGGAGGTGAAGAACAGGGCTTTGCCAAGGGCCCTTTTGCATGCAGGCCCTGAATGGAATAACGAGATAGCTTGTCCTCTGTTCCTGTCTCGGACCTTTGTTCTGTTTGGCCATGGGGGAGACCAGATACCTACTTTGGAAAGATGTCCCTTAGATTCTGCATATCTCCTCCTGTCCAGTCCTGAATTTAAAGCTCCAATGCCCCACTTGACATTCCAAGTTACATGCGGCTGGAGTCTCCACTCTGGTGCACTTGTAAAGAGAAGGCATCTGCAGGCAGGTTAACTACTGACTTAGCCATCTGGGACCCCAGTCAGCTGTCTCCATTTGGCAAAGCAGGACCTGTTAATGGCCTTGGCTAAAAAACTGCAAGGAGAAGTTTGACTACAAAGAGGGGACTGTGAAGGGGCCACAACTTGGCAAGTGGCTACTGAGCCACTCTTGTTCCACCTAATGCTGCCCACTTTTGGCAGGGGGCAGGAGATGCTCCACTGAATGGCCATCAATCACTCCCCTAAAAACTCAGCTGGGATTCCCAGGAGGTAGATCCTTGGGTAGAAGGATCTAGTTTACTTTTGGAACATCATCCCCTTAGAGATCTCTCCATTCTGCGGAGTCGGAGGGGGCAGAAAAAAAACCCCAAGAAATTTCTATAGGCAAAGTGGCTGGCTCATTTTTCTCTCCCTGCCCCTCCCAGTGTACAGATTAGACATATACTGACCATAACAACTGAGGGGCATTGCAAACGTCATAAGTGTGGGCATTGGCCATAAAGTTATTTTTTCAGCACCCTTGTAATTTCAAACGGTCACTGAATGAAGAAGTTGGTAAGCAAGGACTACCTGCATTGATTCATAGTTGTATACATAACCGAATGGATTATCATTTTAAATTTAAGCCACTGACTATGATTTACCTTTATACTAATGAAGGTAAAAAGGACAACTTTTTGTCATAAAGAAAGCTATGTAAATGAGAAGTGTGGCTCTCAACCCAAGTTTCATTAGCTTTCAACTTATTCTACTTTGGTTATTTTCTCTTTCAAAATGACTTATTCTGCATTTTTTTAAAAATGAATAAAAAGAAACAAACTTACATGATTGGATCAAATGCTCCTTAACTTTCTGAGGATAAATTGGATGCCATACATAATCAATTGTAAGCATAATACTTGGTATTGTCCAGCATTCAACCCAGCCAGCCCTATTAAAAAAATAGTCTATGTAGTAATTATTTTATTAACGTTTTCTTAACATCAATCATTAAACATTTTCTTGTATATTTTGACATTGTAGTAAGAGAAACCAAACTTACTCTTCTTGAGTCATGTTCCTCCACTTGGACTTGCTTAGTTTCTGACCACTCTGACTATCAGCAGGAGCACAAGACTCAGGATTTAATTTACTAGAATGACAATCTTTCACCAACATAAACAGGGAGTATTTACTAGGATGGCAATCAGGAAGAAGTAAGTGAAGATCAAGACCATCTCCCTGAAAATTCAATACAATACATATTTCAATCAATTATATTTAAAACATACAGAAGCGGACAAAAGTATTGGTGTATCTCATTTCTTTTGCCCAAAGAATCCCAATTTGTCATGAAATAAATTGAAACTGACACAAGTAAATGGCATGCACCATTTTTTATTCCATAGAGCAGACTCTTTCCTTTTGATGTATGACTTCATCTATTCTTGTGAATAATAAAACAAATGAAACATAGCAAATATCTATTAGAAGTTAAAAGACATTATTGGGTTTTAGTTATCTCTCAAGCAAACTATTCATTTTAATTAGTATCAGTCATGATAAATTTGGCACTTTGTTAACATCTATAAAAATGACAACACTCCTATAAATTTGTATAAGACAGACAGTTATTCATAATAAAAGAAAAGTATTTTAAATTTTTAAATAGAAGGAAGGAGCCATTACAATGCCTTGGGAAAGAATTAACAAGTATTTTCCACAATCGCATAATGTATTATAAAATTAAGTAGCCTAAAATCTATTGAAATAATTTCAGTATTAAAAAACAAGTATTTTTCAAATGAATCTACCGTTTCAAAAAAGGACTATACTAGTATTCTATCTGTATAGAACAGAATAAACTACCTATAGTCCCAAATGTCAACCACTTATATTTGATTTGAATTTCAAGATTACAAATGTTACTGTATCTATATATTTAAGGGTAAGATTAATGGCACAAATACTGAACCGATATAAAATTATAATAGTTTATAAAACCATTTTTAGGAAGACATTAGAAGATGAATGACCAGTGTGTTTTTGATGTGGGCTGCCTTATAAATCCAGTAATAAAAAAATTGAAACAAAGAGAAAATTGACAGCATGTATTCAAGCAGGATATGAACAACATCTGAGCCATAATTTTCTTTGCTCCTGCTAGAAATCATTGTTCATGTTCTTCAGATCCTGCTTGGATACATACTGTCAATTTTCTTTTTTCCCCAATTTATTTATTTTTTGTTTTATTATAGAAACAAATGCAATTTATTTTGAAGATAAAGTTATCAACTTACCCTTAAAGAGAATCTAGTACTGCATGTAACTGGAACAAAGTCAAGAAAAGGCAAAGAGAAAACTATGTTTAATGTTTCTCCACAGGCAGCCACATAAACTAAAGGAGAACAGGAGGAAAAAAATTGAGTATAAATTAATCATAAAAATATTTCTTTTATCAAAATGACAGTATAAAGACAATTTGCAATTCTGTAAGCACCATTAAAAAGTGTTTCAGTATGCTTCTTAACTCACTTAAGTATATTAAACTACTTAAGTACTTATTAAAAACGAGAGCACTGGAATTTCTCTGCAATCATTTTCAAAAAAGGTTTATCATGTGTTAGAATGGTCATCTGGAAAATTAAGAAAAAATGCAGGAGAAGCCTTGCTCTCCAAGTACTGGAACTGAGAAACAAGCTTTACATCAATTAACTAGCAGCACTTGGGTTGCAGGCTCTTCCAGGCTCTTCCGCCAGTCTTGCCTTGCTTACAATACCTCGGTCCCTGGTTCAGTGCCGGCTTCTACTCTCCGCACACACAAACACAGCTAGTTTTTCTCACCAAAGTGGTACCAGTTTAGCTACTCACAATGTTGCATGCTTTTGAACTCCTGGGTGGGCAGGAACAAGCGACAGTAGCTCATTTCATCTCACAGAGCCAGGCTCAAACTGCCGAAGTGCAGACCATTTCTGGCCAACAATTCCTGTGTCATTAAGCCATTGCACCACCACATCTCCCAATCATCAATCACTGATGATATATATGGCACAATGTCTCAGTGGGTAAAGATGCTGACTTCTTCAACTGGAGAGCTGATAGCTCGAGTTTGAGACCCAAGCTCCACACAACGAGATGAGCTCCCATTACTTGCCTCACCTCTTGCTCATCTAGCAGTTAAATGCAAGTAAATTAATAGGTACAACTTTGGTGGAAGGCAACAGCATTCTGTGCACCTTTGACATATAGCCATGCTGGCCACATGATTATGAAAACTGTCTTCAGACAACACTGGCTCTCTCAGCCAAGAAACGGAAATCGTGTGTGTGTGTGTGTGTGTGTGTGTATAGCTCTATCTATCTATCTATCTATCTATCTATCTATCTATCTATCTATCTATCATATGTGGACAGTACAATCAAAAATAAAATATCACTATAATATCGAGCCATAAAATTGCAATGGAATAGATGTTATAATTCAGTATCTAAGGAAGCTAGCCATGTAACTGCTTTTGCCTTGACCGCAATGAGATCATCCCAGGTGCCTTGAAATTTCCTGAGGAGACATTCTTGAACTATAAATGTTATAGTTTGTTCCGGTGCACCACAGTCACATTGCGAGCTCTCAGCAATTCCCCGCTTAGACCTTTGCCTTAGTTCTGGCATGGCTGTCCTGATTCTACTGAGGTGCCACTACACTAAATGTTTTTTGCCTGTTCCCACAATTTTCCTAATCAAGTTGTTTCTGGTTTTCAATATTTGACCGATTACTTCAAAGTGTTTTCCAAATATAAGGGATCAGTCAAGATTATATTATTCAGAAATATTTTGGATGGCAGTTGTGTTTTATCCTCTTTCCACAAAAAGATACGTTTAACTCTTTTTTCGCTGTACGATTTCTTAGATGGAAGGCCCATACTTCAGTTTTATTTGGGTTAGAGCATAGCTTCCACTTCTCATAATACTGTATTAGTTTAATTTTTCTACGTAGGAGTTGCAAAAAATCCTTTATTATTATGGGAAGTGGAAGGCAGGCAATACCTGTGTGCTTTGAACATATTGTAGTAGATGGGTGAAGACTTGTGCCTCTTCAACAGAAATATTTTGTGTACAAACACTGAATTACACAATGAGAAAGAGGCATCTTAGACATTTGTTTCTGTTTCTGTTCATTTGAAGGGAGAGGGACAATGACTGGACTAGAAGTAGGACCCAGTCCCTTTCCCTCTATCCAACTGACCTCACTGTGCTCTCCTCACTGTGAAGAGAAATACTGTAGGCAGCTGTTCTCAGTCTCATTCAGTATTACACAGTATGCCAAATGACTACTTCTGGCATTGCAAAAATTACATTTGTACCTGACTTCATCTTTGTGGGAGTCATTTCACTTCTATTTTTATTTACTTTGAAAGCAAATATATGTAATATATTTTAAGAATGTTCCTTTTAGTCCATTCTTGACTTTGTGGTTATTACAACAACCTTTTTTCAGTGGTAAAATGTTTTAAATACAGTAAATACCTGTTTAACAGATTGCATTCCCAGCTTGAGACTATCCTGATTTAAAATTTACTGAATCAGAAAATACACAAGGAGGAATTGCCATTTTAAAAATACTGCTATCTTGTATATTGTTAAATCATTATAGTTCTTTCTTCTGTACAATTTTCGGTATTTTTACAGTCCCTTTGAGAAAAGTACATGTTTCTAAAGTACGTGTGAAATTTAAATCATCTTAGTTAGCTGCAAAACATATTTTCCTTTATGGAATATTCTTTACTGATAATACAAATCTAGTAATTGTTAAAAATGGAATCTGTTTGCATGCTAGTGACAGTTCTTTCATTGCACATTTCCCAGCCTATTACAATAACAAAGATTCAAAAGGACCTGGAATCATTTTCAGGTTACATGGTGTTTATTTAAATACAGTTGGATCTTTTGGATAATTATAATAATGTATTACTGTATAAATATGTATTACTGCTCAAATAGCTATAAGAAGAAATTTAGTATGCATACTTTAAAACATAAGAGTTCTCACCATTTTCCTGTTGCTTTGTGGAACAATCAATCCAATTGTGCTGATTTGCAGACCAAATCATTTCAAACTGATGAAACATCACTTTAAAATTCCATGTATAGGGAACAAATGAATAGATATCAGGAGAACTGTCACCACACCAATCTTCAATCAAATCTAAAAATTAAGAGAATAAGTTGCTTCAGTGGGTGATAGAATATTAATCTTAATATTCTATCATGCTGACAATGATATAATTGAAAATTACAAATTATATATGATCCAGAATACCTGTGAAGAAGTTTTTTTGCGCATATATGAAATGGTAAGTAGCTTTATATACTTCAACTTCAGTCTGCCAGAGTTGTGGCATGTTCCATGTTCGAGGATAAAAGGCATTAACGTGAAACTAAAAATATATATATATAAAATAGATATTGTTAACAATGTACAATTCCCCAAAAACTGTAACAGCAAAAATAAAACAGAGAGCCATATAACTCCTGTTTATTAACTTACAAATCCTTCTGTTAATTACTCATATACAAAACCATCTAGCTGAAAATTACCAAATGCTTTGATAACAAATATGTTGAAAGCTTTGCCCTCAGAGATTTCCTTCTGTAACTAACCCACTGACCAGTGATTTTTATTTTGTAAGGATTGCAATTATTTTGAGGTGACCACATAAAGTTTTTTACTTCCACCCATCCCACGAAAGATACGTGACTGTTCAGGAAGCACAAAATGATTGTAACAGGCAACATGGCATGTTTAGTCTCCAAAGATGTGGCTCAATAAAAGTTCAATTGAAGTATTTACCATATTTTTCCGTGTATAAGATGCTATTTTTTCCTGCAAACACCCTGTTCAAAAATCAGGTGCGTCTTATACAAGTGCAGTGTCTTCTACATGGAAAAATAATGGTAACCTCCGCAGCCCAGGGAATGCCTGTGTGGGTTGCCATGCTGCCTGGTGCAGGTGTCAAGCCCATGGGCTTGCCACTAACGGGAGGGGGGAGGGGGCAAGATCGTCGGCCAGCCGAACTTCCGGATTTGCCGGCTCAGCTGTTTGGTGCTCCACCGAACAGCTGATCGGTGCGGAGAAACTCGCATGCCAGAGCGTCTTATCCAAGGCTGTGTCTTATAGATGGAAAAATATGGTATGCTTGAATACTAAACAAAAATCCACAAGCAGGAGAGTCAAATCATTAGTCCTCCTGATAGCATTTCTAGTCTATCCTGATGAGACTGCAGGTAAATCTGCAACAGGCTCCTCCTCAGGTTTGAGTTACTGAGAGTAAAAAAAAAAACCTTACTTCATTTGGGAAGGATAATTTATATGACAGTTCCACATAATCAAGTAACACTATATATATATGTGTATGTATATACATACATACATATAAGCGTCAAATTTAGGAAAATATCTCATCTTTGATGTGTTTTTCCTTATGATTATTATTCAAGAAAATACAGTTATCACATATATTGTTCAGATATTTACAATCGCTTGGACCTGCTGTTGAAGTAATTTGAAAGCAAATACAACAGAAATTATTCTGAAAGTATGCACATTACTTACAGCTAACATTTCTGCTTCTAAGAGAGTCCGGAACTGCATGCTACTGGTAGCATCTATATGTAAAAGTTGTCCTTTAATAGTGGGAGAGTAGCCTAGTAAACAGAATAAATCTTTATTTTAGGATTATGTTTCTCTTCAAATGCATCAAAAAAGTTAAAACAAATTGCCTTTTACAATGGTGTATTTCTCTTCAATGGCGATCTTTAAAGGTAGCCCATTCCAAAATGCTGTAGCAGATCAGCACTGAGTAGAGAACTGGATAGGTTGGCATTTGAAGTCCCTTCCAACTTCATGATTTGAGGAAGTACCTATTTTCTAAAGTTATTTCATACATACTATCAGTAGTAAATATATAACAGGAACTGAACCAATTTAAAAATAAACATTTTGTATCAAATGTCTATTTTTAATAAAGGGATGTGAATATTACAGATACATTGTCAATACAACTCTTTGTAGAAAGTTTTAAGAAATAAATAAGAAATATTTATAACAGAGAAAGACAAACCTAGTCATAACTTGAATCATCAAATTTTTTAGAATTATATTTTCAGTATTCACTACATAGCTTACCCTATGGACAGAAAACTTGAATCCAATCAGTCTAACTATATTGATAGACTAATATTTAATCAAATTCCATAAAATAGAAAATAATATACAGCAAGCTTTCTATATTAATATGTGTTGAGATATATTAAGAAACACCAAGTTTTTAGAAATGCTAGTCAATATGTAAGGGCCACTACTTCAATATAGTTTACCAGGAAGAATAGAAAATTATTTTTATTTCAACGTACCATTTTCAGTGACAGTCATGGGAATATTAACTTCCAAATAAGAACCTGCTCCAACATTTACATGTACTGCATTAGTTTCCTACCAACAAAATTCAGAATTAGTTCAATTAGTTTTATTAACATGATGTCTTGTTTCAATCCACTATTCACCATATGTTAACTGCTAAGATTAAGGAAAGCAAATATAGCACAAATGATTACAAATAAGATTAAAAATTAGGAATAGAAAGAAAAGAGAAAAAAATACTGTATCTATTGAGTACAAATCAGATCTGTACATATCAGAGCTGTAAAACAGAATGAACAGACAAAAACCTGGAAAAAAGCAATACTAAACCATTTCATACTCTTCCAACAAAACTAAATGCATATACTGTGTTTCCCCGAAAATAAGAGCCATCTGGAAAATAAGTCCTAGCATATTTCGGGATGCTCATAATATAAGACCCACCCCAAAAATAAGCCACAATTAAGATCATCAGCCAGACAGATGCATTTAGTATCGTATTTCTCTGAAAATAAGACCTAACCAGAAAATAAGCCCTAATCAATGTGTCTTTTGGAGCAAAAATTAATATAAGACCTGGTCTTATTTTTGGAGAAACACAGTATATCTTTTTATGTGTGTGTGTGCATGTGTATCTATATGTATATATACCATATGTGTATCTGTGTGTACATGTGTGTGTGTATGTGTATGTGTATATATATATATATATATATATTCTTCATGTAATCACCAAGAATCAAATTCAGTTTATCGTTCTGCCTAAAAAGCAAAATTCTTAAATGAATGAGTTCTTCCTATAGTATGGCAGATTTAAAGAAAATCTTGTTTTCTTATAATATGGATTAACATTATGGGAAACTAGAGAGTAAACATTTGTCTTTATGTTTGTCTATTTGTGTGTCTCTCTGTGTATTTGTCTGTGTGTGTGTTTATTCTGCTCTGACAGCAACATCCTGGGTGCAGAAAAATATATTTTTGATCAAAATTAAAAATACAGATTTGTTGAGGAATACATAAAAACACAATGCTCAAATATGAAGAAATGCTTAACTACAGTTTTCCCTTAAGACTTTTTGTTTTGTACTATTTTTAATATTTCCAAAAATAAATTATAAGGTATATTAATATTTATTTAAAAAATTAAGAGAGAAATAATACATGTGTTACAAACAACTAGGGTTAATTTCCCAAGCTTCTAGTTAAGTTATATTTATTTACCCTATTTTTTGTAAACAGCAAGTCAATAGTAGCATCTGCAATAATATTCATACGTAGCTCAAAAGCAAGGATCTGTCTTAGCTTCCCAGGAACTGGAACTTCTGTAACTTTCATTACTTGATAATCGGGTGGGAAAAAAAATTTCCACAAACAATCCCTAAAAGAAAAATCCAAAGAGTAACAGTTATACTAAAATAAATGTCAGTCATTTATGAATATTTTCTGTAGTATATATATACAAGGGCAACACTGATGCTTTAGATTCTCTACATCAGAGCTCCTCAACCTTTCCGGTTGGCGGCCCAGAGGGAAAGGGAGGAGCAGGGAAATATTTGTGTGTGTGTGCCTCTGTGCACACCTGCACAAGCAGGTGCACACATGGCGAGGCACTAACACCCACATGCATGCATGAGCCACGGGCGCTGCACCTGCACAAATTGACCACTAGTGCCCATGTGCCTGCACAAACGGGGCCGCTAGCCTGAGTGGCAGTGCTAGCATGAGTGGGGGGGTGCATGCACACATGCGCGCACTCACCAGCCATTCCCGGGGATGGATGCATGGATGCATGGATGCATGGACGGATGAATGAGCCAAGTTTCATGCATCCTCATCCACCACTGAATCTCTATATACTACTAAAATTCCCCTTTGTTTATAACCTTTAATTGGGTGAAATAGTATATTGTAAGGCAAAGGTTTTTGAATCAAGGTACTTGAAATGGGGCTAACTATGGAATACTTTCAAAATCCAGGACTCATGACTCCCGTGGAATTAAAATTCAGCAAATTTTATAAAACATTTTATGACACAATAAAAATTTTATAAAGCATTTCTTGTGGTCAACTTCTGATGTCTGACTGTGCTATAGAGTTCAGCATGAACTATTTTTAAGGCAGATACATCTTTGAGTATCTTCCTGGATAATAATAATAATAATAATAATAATAATAATAATAATAATAATAATAATAACAACAACAACAACAACAACAACAACAACAACAACAACAACTTTATTGTCACTTTGAATATACACCAATTGGCATACATCAAAATGAAATTTCGTTGCATACAGCTCTCAAAGGGTCACCACCTCCGATATACACTCCTTGTTCGTGGCCAGCTCAAGTTTCAGATTGTCCATTTTAGTCTCTAGGTAGCGAACGATGGCAAACAGGACAGATGGAAACAGAGCTCCATGTGGATTAGCCCTCAAATTAGCTTGTATTCCTGCATGACAACCTCGCCTCCTTTCCTTTTTCTAATCCTGTCTCTTCCACCTTTTCCTTAAAGAGGCCTTGCTTCTTTTCGCCCCTGGAGCACGCTGCCGCCGCCGCCAACTCCTCCAAAAGCCTCTCTTTCTTCCTCTGGGCCTGCTGACAGCCTCATCCAGTTCCTTCGCTCCATAAGCCCCGGGACCTCTCCTCCTCTGTCTCCTTCGGAAATAGCCCTGATTTGCAATAGAATCCGTCGCTGGGCCAGCAGACAGATCTTGCTGCCGGCAGAACAATTTCAAACAGCGCCGATGACTTTTAATGGTCTCACCAACAGTTCCGAAACAGCTAAAAACTTGCCATGCCAGCAATGATTGTCGGTCGAATGTTAGCTTAGTCCCACTATGTTGCTCAAACACATTAAAACCTTCCTGATCATGTGGCCTATATCCCTTATATCCCTCCTAAAACCTTTCACCTTCGAGAGCCAATGCAGCCACAGCCGATCCAGGCACCGCCATCTTAGAAATTTAAAGAATTTTAAAGAACTTTTCCAATTCATTAGAAGCCTTACCTTTTCCGGTCAACCCATGGTCCATAATTAAAATCTGTTCCTTTGCCACAAACAATATCTAATCCCCAGCATGGTGGTAGGTCTTGCAATTTGCTATCTTCATTACTTGTCTCTCCCTCATTACTTTCGTCAGTTTCTTCTGGTACAAGACCTGTATTTTGGAAAACAGTCCCCTCCATAATCTTTATTCAAAGAACTCATAACTGAAAGGCTTAATTAACAGATCATAAAACCAAGTACGTAAAGGATTAACAGAAATTTCACAAGCCTACTAAAGTTAAAAACCAGAAATATACAGATGCTACCAAAACTTCTAACAAAATATGCTGAAATATTTTGTACTGACCTTGAATGTTAAGAAACTTAAGAATTTAGTCAGTAAAATCAAGAATTTGCCAGAATAATGATAGTCAATATTTACCTAAATGCAGTACAGGTAGTCCTCAACTTACAATCACAATCAAGTCCAAAACTTCTGTTGCCAAGTGAAACATTTGTTAAGTGAATTTTGCCCACTTCATGATCTTTCTTGCCACAGTTAAGTGAATCACAGCAGCTGTTAAGTTATTAACAGGTTTGTTAAGTGAATCTCGTTTCCCCATTGACTTTGCTTGTCAGAAGGTGATCACATGACCCTGGGACACTGCAACCATCATAAATATGAGTCAGTAGCAAAGTGTCTGAATTTTGATCACATGACCCTGGGGATGTTGCAGTGGTCGTGTGAAAAATGGTTGTAAGTCACTTCTTTCAGTGCCGTTGTAACTCTGAACAGTCACTAAATGAACTGTGGCAAGTCAAGGATTACCCGTATTTTTCTATGTTGGTTAGTATTTTCCAGATGTAAAAAAGCTAAGGCAAAAAGCACAAGAGAAAACCTGGAGGCCTCATACTGTAGCTATATCAAATCTCACTCTTCTTGAAACCTAGATCTTTTACCCAAGAAATCCTACAATTAAACAGTCTTGAAATATGGACATGCAATCCAATTTCAGATGTATGCTTTTTAAAACTTTACTAAGTGCTTAGTATATATCACATGTTGGCTAAGCCTATTTCAGTAGCTATTAACATACTGAGTTGGTGGGCTCAGATAAAGCAATGGTATAATAGTAAATTTAAAGCCAGGTCAACACTTTTCCTATTTATTGAAATGTATTGAAATGTATTGAAATTTATTGAAATGTATGCATTATACATCTGGTCATGTAAATAAGAGATTTGCAGGAACAAAGTTATTTTGTTTCTCAATTTTTTTTGCTAATATTTCTATCAAACAATTCCTGACATTTTACATTAGCAAATGTGATACCTAATCTGATAACGACATAATGATAATCATTTTTAGAGGGCTGATTTTTTAGGGAAAAAACAACTGATGGCTTGGGCTGGTGAGCTAATTTATTTAAGATTAGCTAGTATACTAAGCAAGATTTGAAATTTGCAGTTCACTCTCACAATCACTGCACAGCAGCAACTCAAATAATTTGATGATTCAACATTACTTGTTCAATAATTATAGGCCATTAATAACAGCTCTATAGCTATTTAGGATAGAGTCAAACTGGGTATCAATCCAAGACATTTTTTGAAGTTAAAAAAGAAGACTAGATAGAATCAAAATGAGCAGAGGTACTCTCTGTAAAAGGGAAAGGTTAACTATTCTAGGGATCTTTCTAGTTCAAAACATTGAAAAAAAAACCTAAGATCTTGCAAATTGTTATTACATTTAAATGAGAAGATTCACACTTACCAGGTTCATCCATATAGTAATAGATGTCAACATCATTTGATTGCATCACAACAAAACCTTCTCCCATTAATCTTGGAGGCCTGTTATAAAAGAAATAAAAAATGGAAAGGAAAATGTAAACATTGCATTTATCAATGGAATTCCAGTCTATGGAAATTTACACTCAATATGTCAATCTTTAAGAAGACTGCCTCAAGACCTCATGAAAATGTCTGACTATTACGTTAAATTATAGACTTTGTTTTTCTAGTTAAGTCACTTAAAAACTTTAAAAAGATTTTAAGGCAATATAAAAAATCTGCATTTTTCTTATGCTCAAACTGATCCAAAGCATTGTTGCCCAATTCATCAATAGTAACATATTAATAAACATATTAACATTTTCTAGTATTAACTAAATGCTGAATTAAAAATATTTATTTTGTTTCAAAATAAGGGTTTTAATCGAATCATTTGAAAGCATACATTTTTAAACTATAACATGATAAATCTCCTAAAATTATTGGATTGTGGTAGAGAAAGTTGCTGTAGCCAAACTAAACTTTTAACTGAAAAACTTTTACAGTATAATTTAAATATGTTGGTTTTAATTTTTTCTTAAAAAGTTCTATCCTGACCTATATTTCCATCATTTATTAATAGTTTCCTATTAAAATAGAATATAGATGCACTCTGAGAGTATATAGCACTATTCTTTTAAACAACATGCTCTGGCCATGATAATAAATATTTGGTTGTAATTATCCTCTGCAAGGAGATAATCTGGAAATTAACCATCAAAAAATCAAAATCATGAGTTTTGCTAGGAAACCAAAGACTTATGCCTAGCATATAGACATGTTCTCAATCAGGCAGGTCTCATTCCTCTATGACTATGTCATTTTATACAGACAACCATGACACTTCCTTAGAATTGTAAATTATTAAGATTCCTCCATTCCCAAATAATTGGATACCCCACCACTATATTATATATTCTATGGTTTTAACATAATTACTTACTCATCATTTTGAAGACCAACATATCTTGGACTTGGAACAAGCATAACTCTCACATTTTCCAGTTTGCCTTTTACAATGTGCATAAACTGATCCAGATGGCTTGAAGGTGGCTTTGTAGTATAAGTTAAAGAAGCATCATCAAAGTTAATACATAGAGTCTGAGGCAGATAATGATTTCCAAACGCTAAGCGACCCTAATTTAAAAGAAAAATAAGCACATGTTAACTCTTAATACTTTGGTAGCAAGACATTCTTTTTAAACAATTTTACTTATCATTTTAAACAAACCATATATATCACCTATAGAAATACACATGAAAGCATGTGCGCATGCACGCACAAACACACATATTTGAATCATGTCAACTAAACAATGCTTCTAAGATCAAAATGAAATGTTATAATGACTACTGAAGAAAGTGATCTTCAAAAACCATAGAAAATCTAAAATGCAGATGATCAGGATCTTTTTTACTTACCGTGCTAACACTGACTTTAATTACAGGAATAAGAGATCTCCATGAAGATGAGGGATCATAAGAATCACTTTTTACTTTGACACTGAAGGAAAAACAAGTGAAATTTACACACTGAACAATAAAAAATAGAAGCCCTAAAGTTACATGCAAATCAACTCATTAAGAAAATGGAACAGAACTTCATGTTCAGAGGACTGCAGTCCTATTTCAGAAAAACACAATACTTGCAAAACATATATTTAAAAAGCTAAATGAATATAACACAGTGCTATAGTATAATTTATGATAATTACCTTAAACATTCCCACCATGCATCCTTGCTGCTATCTTATGTTAATAATCACGTACATTTACATAAGTGTAATTGGTATGGCTCAGGTTCCACTATTCAGGTGATTAGAGTAGCCTATAAGTGTGGTCCTAAAAAAACTGTTCATGTTCCAATTTTAAATTCCACCTAAGGGAGGAATATGATTTGGGGTAATGGTAGTACGATAACCATTATTGTGAATATATCTGAACCTGCCCTGGCAAATTGACACATTAAAATCTGTAACTTAAATGTTATATATTTAGTGTCCAGGGATGAAGAATTTAGTCCTGTGAATGCTGATAGACATCATTCATGTTTCCAAAATGGTATATGGGCTGGAACTTAATACCAATAAAAGTTGTCTTTTAAATGTTCTAATACAATTTTAAATTCAAAAACATATCAAACTATGTTCTAAAACCTACCTTCACAAAAGGTTGTGTCCCTTTACAGAAAACACACTTCATAAATACTTTTTAAATATTTTGTGTGATTTGTTTATAGAATGGAATGGGGTGGGGTGGGGTGGGATGGAGGTGGGATGGGATGGGACAGGACAGGACAGGACAGGATAAAACAGCTTTATTTGGCCAAATGTGATCAGACACACAAGCAATTTGTCTCTAGTGCAAAAGCTTTCGGTGTACATGCAAAGCAACAGAATAATAATCATCATAATAATAATACCAATAAGAAGTGGTAGTAAAGGAGATAGCAAGAAGGATTATAATATACCAAGGCTTTTCAACCTTTTCACCCATTGTACCACTTTTAGGATATGGCAATATCCGAGTACCACTAGTCGCCTAGCAAGGTGTCAAAAACTTGATGACCAAAAAAAAAGGCAAAAAGTGATAAAGTACAGGTAGTCCTCGACTTACAACATTTCGCTTAGTGACTGTTCGAAGTTACAATGGCACTGAAAAAAGTGCCCCCCAAGCCACAGCCAAGCAAGACACCTGCCTGCCCACCCGGCGGCGCTCTTCCTCCTGTCCGAGATTTTCATTGTTGTGAGCATTCTGTTGAGGATTGGCAGCAGAGGTGGGGTGGAGGGGTGTTTGGTTTTTATTCCCATCTGCTGGGTGGTTGCAGCAGGTTTTGGTCACTTCACATGACCCTGGGACACTGTAACCGTCATAAATATGAATCAGTTGCCAAGCATCTGAATGTAAATCACACGACCCTGGAGATGCTGCAACATTTCAGCTGATCGGCACTTCTTCTGGGCTCAGCAGAAGCGCCAGGATCAGTGCTGCTTTCCAGCTGATTGGTGCTTCTTCAGGGCTCAGCAGAAGCACCAGGATCAGCGCCAAGCTCCAGCTGGACCCTGGCGCTGATCCTGGCGCTTCCACTGAGCCCTGACAGCCCTGCAGCTCCAGCCATCTCTCGCTCAGGCTTGTGGGGTGCTGCCACGTGTTCAGCTCATTCCCCTCCCCCGCTACCACTTTTCTAAAATGGTCGCGTATCACCTGCCAGGTGCCAATGTACCATAGGTGGTACCCGTACCACTGGTTGAAAAGCCCTGTAATATACTACAACCAGACTACATGGGTGTATATACATAATTAGATAGATATGTGAGAATTAGGTATTCAGCAGAGTGACTCTTCCTGTGTCTAGTTGTTTTGGCATACAATGCCCTATAGCAGCATCCCAAGGGGAAGAACTGAAACAATTTATGTCCAGGATATGAAGGGTTTGTAGATATTTTCTCAGCCCTCCTTCTGACCTGCACAATATACAGGTCTTCTACGGAAGCAGACTGGTTGCAATTGTTCTTTCTGCTGTCCTATCATTTGGAACCTGTACCTGTCCTGTTTGGTTGCTGTACCAAACCAGGGCGTTATAGAAGTACAAATGACAGGCTCAATAATTCCTGTATAAAATTGTATCAACAGCTCCTCCTGGGGCAGTCTGAACTTCCTGAGCTGACACAAGAATATTCTTTGTTGTGCCTTTTTAATGATGATTCTAATGTTAGGTGTCCATTTCAAGACCTGGGAGATTATAGAACCTCAAAACATGAAGGACTCTACTGCTGCTATTGTGCTGTCGAATATAGTAATAGAAGGGCTCCTCCTAAAATCCACTCTCATCTCTACAGTTTTAAGCATGTACAGCTCAAGATTGTTCAGCTGGGCCAGTTGTTCAATCCCCCATCTGTATGCAGACTCATCACCATCTCAAACAAGGCCAATAACTGTGGTATCATCTGCAAACTTCAGTACTTTAACAGATGGATCTGTAGAGATGCAGTCACTGATATAGAGAAGAGCAATGGAGAGAGCACGCAGCCCTGAGAGATGCCTGTACTAAGTCTAATTTTCCCTAGCTTCACCTGTTGCTTCCTATCTGTCAAAAAGCTAATAATCACACACACACACCATAAGTATGGACAGGCACATTTAGCTGAATCGGTTTAGAGTGAAAAATTTCTGGAATGATGGTACTGAATGCTGAGCTGAAGTCTTCAAAAAGGACCCATGCATAGGTCCCCAGAGATTCAAGATGCTGCAAAAAGTAATGCAGTGCCATATTGACAGCATTATCTGCTGACCTATTTGCTCAGTAAACAAACTGCAAGGGGTCTAACAATGGATCCGTGATGATTTTCAGATGGGCCAGCACTAACCTCTCAAAGGTCTTCATAACTACGGATGTTAAAGCAATTGGCCTATAGTCATTCAGCTCCCTGATGGAGGGTTTCTTAGGAATCAGGAAGATGGTAGAGCATTTGAAGCAAGAAGGGACATAACATATCTCCAATGATTTATTAAAGATCTGGGTGAAGATGGGGACCAGTTATTCAGGACAGGCTTTTAAGCAAGGAGTTACTTGATCTGGGCCTGGTGCTTTTCCTATCTTTTAGCTATGAAACAGACTACACATTTTTCTAAGATCATCAAGAGGTGGAGGGGCAGAGGGATGGAGAAAGGTGTAGGAAATTTGGCTACTGTTGGTGTATTTGAAGTGAGGAAGGTAGCAGTAGATGACAGTGATCTCCTCTCAGACCTATAGTAGAACCTACAGGTCATCTGCCAATTGACAATTCTCTGTAGTAAAGCAGAGAGGTCTGCTGTAGCCAATGATGTTCTTCAGGCTTCTCCACACAGTTGCTGGTTCATTAGCTGACAACTGATTTTTCTGCTTTTTGGAACAGTTTCTCTTTGGTATCTGATCTCCCTTGTTAATACATTCCTAGCCTGACTGTACAAAAGCCTATCTCCTTTCCTTAGGCCTTCTCTGAATAGAGAGCACATTGATGAATGAACTGAAAATAACAAATGAATCAGAAATACTAGTTTTATCTTCAGTAAATATCTACAAAAGATGGTGAAGTCATTATCAGAAAATTTCATATTTCAACAGAGTGCCTGCCATATGGAAAGAAAACTTGTATTCGTAGTACCTATTATTAGACCAATTATGTTTTTAAATACTGTAATAACATTTTCCCACAGATTTCCCAATGAAGAAAACAATGATTTTAAAAATAGCGATGTCTTATATAAAGCTGAATAACTAGATAATTTTCTGTGAGACCTCTTAGGCCGGGGCGGGGAAGTATGGCCCATGCTGATTCAGGAATTCTGGGAGTTAAAGTCCACAAGTCATAAAGGGGCCATAATTCCCCACTTCTGTCTTAGGCCAGTAATCCCCTGGACATTTCTCTGCTTCAACTACTGTAATTAGGCTAAAATATCAGGCAAAACAAAACAATTGCAGGCAGTTCCAGTAAACTTTTAAGAATATTTTCAACTGTATTATGCAAAACCTTTCAAATTAATGCCCTGCCTTATTTTGAAATGCTATATTGCTACATTAATTAATTTTGGCTTCAATCCATACAAGTAAGACAAGAGAGCAGAAAGATTATTTCTATTCCACTTGGGAACATTCTCCAAATGATTTTCCATGAATTAGAAAATTACCCTGAGTAGCTTTATGGTCCAGGAACTGGACAGAAACTAGGTATCATCAATCCCAAGACATTCAGAAGATATCTTCAGTCTACAGGAGAAGTTTTTCAACAGCCGTAGCAAGATTGATTAGGTAACATCATCTACCCCCAAGCCCTCATTTCAGCACTTTCTAGATTCACAAGAAGGGAGCAGTTTTCTTTGAAATATATTTATCAGTATTAAACTAAGGGGGACAATATATGTTTTGTTTTTTCTTTTTATGCACTTTTTGGGTATAGTCTTGTTTTACTTTGTTTTGCATTTGTATTTTTTTTCTTTTGGGGAAGTTTAATGTTTTGAATAAAATAAAAAATTTATTAAAAAATAATTTTCCAACCAGCTGGTGATATTTGATGGAAACAGCCAGAGCAATCAACCAATCCCTGTTTTGATGGTCCTATATGGTATATATTAGGATGGTCCCTTTTGCCAGCACCATACCTACGTCAGGACAGGGACTAGTATTAGGGGCAGCAATTTTATACTGATATAGTTTCTGCCAACTTGAAGACTAGTGGATGCATTTTAACTTGGTTAGGAGGAAAAACTGATAAAATAAGTGTATTCCCAAACATCATCATCATCATCATTCCAGCCATTGTCTATCCACTGCAAGATGAAGGCCTTTTCTGCATGTTTCCAACCAATGCAGTCTTGAGCTTTCTTTGTCAGTTCCTGATATCGTCACTCCATCTTGTTTTAGGTCTCTTTTGTCGACGCTTTTTTATCAAGTGGAATCCATTCTATGACTGCCTTAGTCCACCTGCCATCAGTTCTTCTTGCTATATGACCAGCCCATTTCCATTTCAATATAAATTGAAATTTATTTTTGTGCATAAAGATAAGAATTTGCATTTCCAATTCAATATAAAAGCTACGAGTGGCGCAAAGGCCATGGAATGATACATGCTCAGCATCACAAGACAAGATAGAAAGACCTGGACATGGATTAGAGAACAAATGAAAATATATGATGCCATCAAGAGTAAAAGAATTGAAATGGAAATACTCCCAATACCTGGACATATTTTATTTAAAAGAGTGCATCCATTTACTATTTAGTTGTAGATAATGGGAAATACCATCTTAATGTATAAATGCCTCAACTGTAAAGCGTATTACTGAACAGGCCAATTCTTTCTAAAAACCCAGTGCACTACTCAGTAGATGTAAGCTAAATAACCACATGTTCAAACTAAGTGTAAACCACTTTCTGTACTGTATTCAAATGTCTGGAATATTAGATGTTCCTCTAATACTGAGTTGCCATATAAAGGACTAAATGATTAAAATGATCAGTAGCCCAATAAGGAGATATCTAATTCTTAGAACCAAAACAACGAATCAGTTTTAAAGGTTTATCACATTTTCTTTTTTCTTTTTTAAAAAATTAACTGGTAAATTTTAATCAAAATTAATCAAAATTTACTGGTAAAAAATAAAATTAGCATCATATTCAAAGACTTATGTGTATGAACATAATCCTTACCTGTCAAGATTTGTATGTGTTTGCTCTTGCCCATTTTCTCGTGCTTTTTCATCCTTTGTTTTTGGAGGAATTATGGTTGGTTCTAAACCAAATAATTCCTGAAGTTGTGCATAAAGATAAGAGCGGTTGTAGACATGAAATTCAAAATCATTCACCACTATATATAATCTTGTTTCTGCCTTAGGATCTATGAAGTTAAATAAAAAAGAGGTATATTTCATTTAGCAAACTGATTTTTAAGAGTCAACCTCACAAACAAATGTAGAGACATATAATTACATGTATGTTATACATAAAAATCATTAATTATATTCCACATACACAAGGATGACCTTCTAAAATAATTAATCAACCAATATGCATGAATAACATATCTAATTAAGTTTGTAAACAATCACATGCATAATTTGTATTATCAGTCAACATTCAACAAGACCTATAACGATTATTTCAATAGAATACTGGTTAGTAGCTTCTATCTAGTGGTCAGCTAGTAAGATAGACATAAAACATTATTAGTTAAACACAAAATAGGTTTTAACTATTGCTGGAATTCTCCTTGAAGACAAATAAAATGATTGGAAAAAAATACAAACACTCACAGAAGCAAAAACTAAAAATGCTCGCTGTTACTGTGAAGTCTAAATGACTTCTTTTGAATGTATATTTGCTGGCTAAGACACACTTTGGATTTCTTGCATAGAAAAGCAAGATGCTTCTCTCTATCCCTTGTTTTTGTGTCTTTTTTATCCATTAACATGCAATTTCTTAAATGGCTAGGAGGGAGGGAGGAGTTAAACAATTAGTTTGTAGAAGAGATATAGGCAAACAAATAAAAACAGCCAACAGATGTCACTTTCATATGTATTTTGCATACATTTTCACCTACAACCTCTTATTTGCAAAGCTACTACTGTCTGGAACGTGACAATTAGCCACAGGCACATGGCAGTGCCCACTTCACCAGGGGTCCACCACAACCGACCCAAGGGGTGAGTTCATCCTCAGCCCAATTCATAGCATGGGACAAGTAGCCGTGGGTCCCAGCAGCCAATCCACACACCAGAGGATAGGCCTCTGCCTTCCCATTGGATGCAGTCCCATCACCTCAGCTTCCCAAAGTGGAAGAAGCAAAATAATACAACCCGCTGCATTTTGTGCATAGAGATCGGATCAGATTTGATCAGAGTAATGATTGCAATCCCAAAATTATTAGGACTCTGAACATCACTGCCCTAATATGATCACTGAGGGGAAAGAGAAAAGAAAAAGTGGAAGAGGAGGAGACGCCTGATATTTCCGGTTGATTTCAGTATAAGGCATATCCTTTCTCTCCACCCCCACCCCTCCCAGTGATCACATCAGGGCAGTGATGTATTCAGAGTCCTAATAATTTGGGGATTACAATCACTGTCCTGAGCAAATCTGATCTCATTAACTCCGACAAGGACAGAGAGGGAAAATTGAGAATAAATTTATTTATGGTCTGGACATCTGAAAAGAAGTAAATTGTAATTCTGTCTAAAACAGTAGCGAGCTCTTTAAACACCTTTTATTATACAGAAAAGCACTTAGTTTTATAATATAAATAGAACTTAATCTTGTATAAGGAACTACTATTCATTTTTTAAAAAGAGATGATCTTGTTTGGGAAGGAGGGAAATGTGGGGGGGGGGGAGGGAAAGGAGAAGGTGAAAGAGGAGGAGATGCCTGATATTGAAATCTACCAGAAACATCATCTTAATAAGATCAAAGAAAATGTATTGACTAGGAGAATAGTTGTATGACAGATCAGGATTAGTGGTTTATGCTTCTATTACAAGAAAACATATTTCTTTGTAAAGGCTACTGGATTCCCATTTTGGGGATTGCAACATTTGTTGCGAACATCTTTCTGGACATTTTCATACGCATAACGTCATTTTGTCTAGTTCTACCTGTGCGGGGTGGGGTGAAGGTTGAGGTTTTTTCCCCCTCTCTCCCTCTTTCTCTCTCTGAGAGAATGACTTTCTTTAATGTTTTCATTTTATTTTTGCTGACTACAATTACAGAGAACGTGCTCAGTCAGAGAAGCTTTTGGGGCACGGTTGACAGTTCCTTTTCCGAGAGAGGTCCTTCACATTTATCATGCCTCTTCCTTTGGGGCTTCGTTATGCAAATGTGGCTGAAATTGATAATTCCAAAGTGCTTCATTTCAGGTTCCTTTTCTTCTTTATAACCTGATAGGAAAGTTGACTCTAATTTCGGCACTACTTCTCGCTCGGGTATTATGCAAACTTTTTTGACATGTTCTTCAGAACGCAGGAAGCCTGATCCTGAAACTGAAAACAAATTCCTGATTTCTGGACGTGCTTGGAAGGACTCTATTATTAGCCAATCTCTCCCTTTCAGAAGCACCATGAATCTCCGCCCACCCGCTGCCTTGCCACAAATCTGCAATGTTCAGCCAAGGGGCTCCTCTGCAATAGCATGGAACATCTGGAAAGCAGCAGCCTTCAGGGACCCATCAAATCGCTCCTCTGGTTTGCTTTCTCTCATCCCATCCACCACGCCCATCCCATCCCCCTGTGTGCACCCAAAGTACAGCGGATCATATTATTATGCTTCTTGCCAGGGGAAACAATATGTTTGCTCCCACCCAACATTTCCACTTCAAGAAGCCAAGCCAGCAGGACTGCACCCAGTGGGAAGGCAGAGGCATACCCTTCGGTGTGCCGACTGGCTGCCAGAACAATTGGCTACTTGTCCCGTGTTGTGAATTGGCTGTGAACAAGTGTCCATTGGCCAATTGCCCGGGATGAGGGTGTAGGTGAGGAGCGCCAGTGGTCCATTGGGGGGGAGGAGCACCAGCGGAGAGCCAGCTGAGGATGAACATCCATAGTGGGTCAGCTGTGGGGGGAGCCCACAGTGAAATGGACGCAGCCCTATGCCCACAGCTAATTGTCCTAGACCCTACTCTTTCCTCTAAGGCTGTATCCCCATCCATTTTTATTTCCACTTTCATGTTTATTCCACTTATAAATTACAAGCACAGTCAAGAATAGAGTTAAAGCATTAAAGAAGAATGGAATGGCTCCTATGTTCCAGTTAAAACATTATAGAGTACAGATAGTCCTCGACTTAGTACAATTCATTTAATGACCATTCAAAGTTACAAAGGCATTGCAAAAGGTCAGGACAGTCTGTGACTGTTGCACCATCCCCATGGTCACATAATCAAAATTCAGCTGCTAGGCAACTGACTCATATTTATGATAGTTGCAGTTTCCTGGGGTCATGTGATCACCTTTTGCAATCTTCTGACAAGCAAAATCAAAGGAGCCAGATTCACTTAACAACCATGTTACTAATTTAACAACTGCTGTGATTCACCTAACTGTGACAAGAAAGGTCATAAAATCGGGTAAAACTCACGTAACAAATGTTTCACTTAGCAACAAAATTTTCTGCTCATTTGTGATTGTAAATCGAGGACCTCTTATACTACAGAAGGTCTCCCTTGTGCCAATTAAAACACCTATGTGACTAAGGTGGACAAAATCTCATTATATACTCAAATCTTGTGAGATTTTGACTATTTATTATAACCAACGTAATTAATTTTATTGAATGTGAGATCCCACAAAGTCAGGGACATATATATTGCAGTAAACCATATCTTATGTGTTGTTCTTTAAAAGTTTTCAAGAATACTAATTACCAGCTTAAATTAAAAGGTCAGGAAGCACTGATACATGGCATAATGTTTAAATGGTAAAACTTAATTGTTATAAACTCAGAAAATTAAAAAACTGTAAATGATTATAAATAATAAAGTAGCATATCAGTGGTTCACATATTTTAACTTCATATAGTATGACCCAATTAAACGTAATTTTGTTATAATTAACTCATTATTTTTCTTTAAAGATAGCCTTATTATTTGTCTACTCAAGAGACATGAACTCCTTTGGTATTTCAATAAACTGGGTCTTTAAAATGACATTATATAACTCTATAATTATCCAGAAAGTAGTAGAAAATTTACTTTTCCCCTAAAAACATATAAGAGTACTGTACACAAATCATTTTGAACATTTTTTTTATCTGAATACTTCTGGCAAATTATACACAATGAAGGAAAATATCTTTAAGATGTAACATTTTCAACTTTAGCGATATGGCAAGATAAATAAATAATTTCACCATTTATAAAAAAAAAAAAGGATGAAGCAATCAGATTTCTAGGGCATTTATAACTTCAAATTAAGCCATCTAAATCAGGGGTCCCCAACTCCCAGTCCGTGGATTGGCACCAGGCCGCAGCATGCCAGAAACCGGTCCACGCAAACAAGCAAAGCCCCATCTGCGAGATGCAGGCAGTACATGAAACCATGCCTCCTCAGGTCCGCAGAAAACCCACTCTTTATGGAACCGGTCCCTGGTGCTCAAAAGGTTGGGGACCTCTAATCTAATAACTAAGAATTATGACAGTGAAAATTTATCTTTGCTATGGCCTGATGTCTAATGGGCTAAAACATAAGGAATCTAAGTAATCTCTTTTTTTCAAAGAACCAGTTTCTGAGCAATTAGTTTCTTTCTTCATTGTCACCTCTGCAGTTTTTTCCAACCAGATATCCTTCAGATGTTTGGACTTACTAATTTTCCTGGTAGGAATTCCAACAATTGTAGCTCCATATTTAGGATACATTAGCTTCAAAATATCTAAAGAGATGATTTTAGTACAATAATCCTGCACATTTTGTTGGTAATATAGAACTATACTAAAATTTTGCCCTTATCAATAGGCATTTTGTTTTTTAATCTCTCCTACATCGTATCTCTATAATAAAGAACTCTGCCTATTTAAAACCATCTGACCTTCTGAAATCACCACAAGCTAGGATAATGCAAGTGAACAAAAGTGCCTTCAAAGAGCATAGATTACATTTGATACTTTACTAGTGGGAAATAATGCAACCACAAATTTAGAGAAGCATTAAATGAGAAAATTGCAGTCATTTTTGTCCAATAGGCTTAAGTACTTACATTAGGCAGATTCAAAATATTTCACTTTAAAATATATTTATATAAATATATTTTTCCCATTTCACTGCATATCTACAAATAATGACTTCCTTTTACAACTACAAATAATAATAATTTATCCCATAGAATCATTTATTTACGATAAAATCTAGCAATATCTCTTTAAATGGCAGAAACTTACCATGTTGCTTCTGCTTTGGATTGTACATCTTCCACCAACGAAATATAATAAATCCATCTTGGATTCTAAAAATTATTAAACAAGTAAAATATTTAAAACAGCTGTTACAGTGTACATATATTCAATATGCAATTAATAAGAAATTGTTTCAAATAACACAAAGGTGAATTTATCATCCTGTTTTCAGAATCTTAAAAGATACCAAAGAGCTTATTTGCAATTTGTTCAAGGACCTGAGCTTTTCAACCCAAACCTGCCCACAGGAAGATTTATCTTTATAACTTTTACTAAGGCAGGAAGAAGGGCATTTTTCTATGCTGATTCTGCACCTATCATGAATTCCTGGATTTATAGGTAGTCTATGACAATTGAGCCCAAAATTTCTGTTGCTAAGCAAAACATTTGTTAAATGAATTTTGCCCCATTTTACAACCTTTCTTGTTAAGTTAGTATCATAGTTGTTAAGTGAATCTGGCTTCCCCATTGACTTTGCTTATAAGAAGGTCACAAAAGGTGATCACATCAATTTAGCAGATTATCAAATTTTCCTTTCCTAAAGCAATGTGAAATTACTTTTAACTCAATGTATCTTACCTTTAACCACTCCACATAGATTCTCTCAACTCTGATAGATCATGGATATACTGAAAGCCTGGCCATTCATATTTACATTTCTATCACTTTAAAATTAGGGTTTTAACTCATTTAGACCAGGGATGTCTAACCTGTGGGCTATGGCCCAGTAGCAGGCCATGGCCTGTTAGCCACCGGGCTGTGGGAATGGCTGGGGAGTGCGCGCACATGCATGCACACACATCCCACTCGCGCTAGTGCCGCCACATGGGCACTAGCGGCCCCATTTGTGCATGCACAGGGGTGCTAGCACTGCTGCCAGTATCACGCGAGTGCTGGTGACCTGTTTGCGCATGCAAGCAGGCGCTACCAGCCCACTGGTGCATGCATGCGGGCCCCAGTTTTGCTGCCAGGGCTGCCCTGGGTATGCGCAGCCTGCTTGCGTATGCACACTAGCGCTGCCGCCATTCGTGGGGAGCTCTGATTTAGACTATTTTGTGGACCTCTTTTCTGATCTTTTTTTATGTAGAAGCTACCATATTCTTCATGTTGTGTGCCAGTTGCACCTTCTCCTAGATCAGGAGGCTCACAGATCACTCAAGCCCTGCTCACCTCCAGATTTACTATTGTAATATGCTCTACATGTGGTTGCTCTTGAGCGTATCCAGAAGCTTCAAGTGGTGCAGAATGTAGCAATGCAGACAAATGTGTTCCTAGAAGAGCACATGTAACATTTGTTATCACCTTTAAAACCATTCATGGCTTGGGATGGGTTATCTCTGGGACTGCCTCTTCCCAATTACATCAGCCCATCCATTAGATCTGACAGAGAAGGCATGTTGCAGGTACCATCTGCCAGGGACCTACATTTGGTTGGTCCCAGAAAGCAGGCCTTGTCTGCCATGGTGCCCACTCTAAGGATCATTTACACACACACCCCTTGAAGTCAGGTTGTTCTTGCTATCATTCTAGAAGACCCTCAAGACCTGGCTGTGACGCTAGTCCGGGGGGGAGGGGGCGTCTCAGGGAAATGGAAATATTCTTAGATGACTCCATTGTGTGGTTGATTTTTAGATGTTTTTATACTGTTTTTGTTTTTAAATAATTATTTAAATTATTAAATTTAACTTGAATAATTTAAATAGAACAATTCTCTATTTTTATAATGTTTGTATTTTATATATTGCTGTTTTATTCTATTGTACATACTCACTATTTGTGAAATGGGTGGCCATATAAATGTTATTAACAAATAAATATGATTAATAAATATGGACCAAAAGATATTCATAGGTTAGAAATCCTTAGCTCTTGCTGCTCACTGCCATTTATAACTATTGTAACAGATCTGCTAAATTATTGTGATCCAATTCTAGTAGGATAATAAATTTTACTACATAAGGGAAATTTTATTTCCTTAAATTTAAAGATACCGGTAATCCCTTTTAGAAATTTTTGCATGGTCACAAAATAAGTACCACACTTTTTTTTCTTTGAATTGTTTTTCTTATTATATCAATGATGAAAATTCAAATGAAGATGTTATATTCTAAACCATATTAGGGCCTATCTTTATCTATATGCAATGCTACAATGGGAATAAAACTTAATAAAGCCATGGCTGTGAAATAAACAGTATGAAAGTTACCTAATGGAGAAATCTTCTGTAATATAATAGATTTCTCGAACCATGATTTTTCCAGATAGAACAGAGAATGAGAAGGATCCTGCAATAAAAAGAAGGTTTCTGTTAAATCACAGAATACCAAGGAGTTCTTTAGGTTTTCTACTCATACTTCCCTACTTTCCAGAAGAATCCAAATAAAGCATCCCAGAAAATTAATATCTTGCTTCTGCACAATTGAAGGGGGACCTATCACCGTGATTAAGAGTAAGAGTAGGTCAACAGGCTTAAAGGTTTCCCCTATCCAGTTAGGATCAACTCAAGCAGGCAGTGCTCATCTCCGATTCTCAGTCGAGGGAGCCTGGGGTGTCTGAGTGATGCTTCCGTCATCATGTGGCCAGCACGAAAATATGGAAATACAGTAACCTTCTTGCCAAAGCAGTAACTATTTATCTACTTGCATTTGCATGCTTCTGAACTGCTAGATTGGCAGGAGGTGGGTGAGTAACTGGAGCTCATCCCGTTACCCAGCATTCGGGTCTTAAATTCAGGCTGTCAGCTTTTCAGCTGACAAGTTCAGTGTCTTAAACTCTGAGCTACACTTACTTTTAATCATATGTCACTATCAATCTTAACTAAATACTTTGTGCTTTCCCAAGTTCTCTCTCCCCTCCATAGTTTTTCTCTTCTCAGATAGTTTTGAACCTCTGACATACAAATGCTGCATTTACTCCGCAAAGAGCTATGTGGGTGCTGCTTTCTCTTGTGTCACCCTACTGTTTTTCCAGAGCAATAAAGAATGTTCTTTACTGGAACACTGATACTGAAGAGACTATAGAAGATCTAACTGGAAGGGTGTAATGCAGGGGTAGGCAACCTTGGCTCTTTTATGACTCGTGGACTTCAACTCCCAGAATTCCTGAGCCAGCAATGCTGGCTCAGGAATTCTGGGAGTTGAAATCCACGAGTCATAAAAGAGCCAAGGTTGTCTACCCCTGGTGTAATGGAAACATCCCATCTCAAGCAACAGGGGAAAAAATTAAAGACTGGACAGCCATTTGTCCGAAATGGTATAGGGTTTCCTGCCTGAGCAGGGGGTTGGACTAGATGACCTTCAAGGTCCCTTCCAACTTTACTATTATTATTATTATTAGTTCTAATATAGATAATGGGTGAAAATCATCAAAGCCCAAGAAACTCAAACTCCAAACTCAAGCACAAACTTTAATCTCTCTTTCAACTGAGCTTCTAAAAGGGGAAGGAAGGGGAGGGGTGATTCCATTTTATATTTGCTGTATCTTCTTTCTTAGGGAAGGGAGTGAGGCTTCTTTCTCTTCTGGCTCACAGGCAGAAAAAGCCAAAATTGGAATAAGAGATATACAAAAAAATACCAGCAATTTAAGAACTAGCAGAAACTATGTAAGAATTAAAATATTTGTTTTACAGAAAACGATGTTTTTGTTCCTCTTTTGGTCCTATTTGAGAATAAGAATATTTAAAAACCATTCAAACTTTTAAAATGATTACTTGGTAGAAAGAAACTTCTCAAGGAAATAAGAAAAAATCATTTCCCCAAACAAAATTAATATTTGGTTCAAAGGACTCTCCCAAGGAAGATATTGTCCCCCACGTTCATTTGTTCAGAAGTTAGTGAATATTTTGTGTTCAAGTTACTGATCTCTAGAGCAGTGGTGGCGAACCTTTTAGAGACCGAGTGCCCAAACTGCAACCCAAAACCCACTTATGCATCGCTGGGTGCCGGGTGTGCGTGGCCACTGAGTGGGCGTGGCCACCGAGCTGTTGGCTCGTGCTCACTCGCTCGCTCGGTGTCCGCTCCGACTTGTGCTCGCTCTCTCGCTGTCTGCAGCAAATGCTGCTTCCGCCGAAAGTTGCTCCTTTTATAGCCTCGCCTATTCCCAGACTGCGCATGCGCGGAAAGCTGCGCATGCGCGGAGAGAACAGCTCGGCCCAGCAATGGCTCACGTGCCACCAGAGACGGCTCCGTGTGCCGCCTGTGGCACGCGTGCCATAGGTTCGCCACCACGGCTCTAGAGCAATCTATTTCATTTCCTCCCACAACTGCCATGATATACTGTGCACAGACGTGCAATTCGATTGTTCCCTGTTGCTCCATCAAGCAGAGGCTTCTAGGTTTTTCCTCCATATTGCATTATGCAAAACTGGTGAGGTCTTATTCAGTACACTGCAACCACCTACTTTATTCCAAGATAAAATCCCTCACTGCATATGTGCATTCATGAAAAAGAAAGTGGCAAAATTTCTAGATCTTCCCAGTTTAGCTAACTGGGGAGAGTGTACTAAAGGTAAAGTCCTTTCAGTGTGTAAGTCCTAATTTAGTTAAGACATGCATCAATGTATTATGTATTAATGTTATGGAAATGATTAGGAGTTGAAAGACAAAGAGAAAAAGTGTGACTTGAGCAGACTACTGGCCTCATATTTAGCCAATAATGCACATACACAGAGAGCCAAGACAGAGTAAGATCCAAGAATGGCTAAAACAAGTATGACAACTTGAATCATTTTTCATAAAACAAAATTTAAGATTCTAATTCAAAATAAGTTTATACTAGTTTCTAGAGTGCTGTAAATTTCCTGTATTTCCAGGAACTAAGCATCATTTCCTGGGCTCTGAGTCAAACAGGAAAAACCTGCTCTGTTCCTCCCATTAAAATACAAATAAAACAATAAATAAATAAATAACATTAAAAAAAAACTCTTACAGGAGTGAGAGGGAAAACATCCCACTACTGATTGCTCAGAGTTTATGTTTCCTGGACTCTTTTTGTTTTGAAACTTACATTTTACAGCTAGATCAAGTTGAAGTTTAACTCTTTTATGTCTGACTCTCTTTAAGTGGGATTTTCTCCCGATCTAATACACAGTCTATAGTATCTTCTTATATATTGCTCAGAGAATTCTTCAGTGTAAAAAGGCCTTGCTAAGAGTCCATGCATGAGTACAGCCACAGTCCCCTTTTATTCACAGGATGCCATGGATGAATCTGGTATTTTGGTTCATATTTGAATTATACTCCCAAATTCGCAATATATAAAATACAAGAGACATTTCACATATGTAATAGCAGCCCAGATTTCAACGCACCATTGCAATGTAATCTCAGCACGGGATTAATCTTTTCATCAAACAGATGTCAATAAAATAATGGAATGTATTTAATTTTTTCTCTTACCAAAAGCAATGGAATACAAAATATGTAACATTGACTAATCATATTACAAACATGATTTCAGAATATCCTGTGCATTTCATATTAAAATTAAGTTGACTTACCAATATGGATATAGCCATTTTTATGTAATCTGTTAAGGATCAATGTTAAAATAAAACCAATATTTCGGGAATTGTAATAAGTTAGATAAATAATCCAGGCACAGGACAAAATTGTAGCTGCAAAACAAAAGTATTCAAACAATTAGAGCAATGGAAATTATTTTTAAGAAACACAGAAGAAGTGATATATTTGTACACAGAAACTCTTTGGAAGTAAGAGAGATATGGACTGCCACAGACTCAATGGGAAGTAATATTACCAATTTACTTAATGGTAAATGGGTTCTTCCAAAAGGTGCTTTTTCACAAGGCAACTGGACTTTGTTTTTCTTTGAAGACATTTCGCTTCTCATCCAAGAAGCTTCTTCACCTTTGACTGGATGGTAGGGAATGGAAAGATTTATACTCCTTGCAGACAGCTGGTCATTTGCATTCTTTTAGAGAGTAGTTGAGGCCACCTGGACGTTTATCTGTGTCATCAGGGTCACCTGAGTAGTGCAAATGGGTGTGAAGCCTTTCTGAAACTGCTGAAAGGACTGTGTTGTAGACTGGATGTAGATCGTGTTATATCCCCACCTCTCTGTTAAGATAGAGCTATTCATTTTTGACATAGATGGCTCCTAGGAGAGCAAACCCATCAGGACAAGGTTCAGCAGTTCATCTGCATTTAAAAGACAAAGGCCACACTTTCGAAGACCCCAAAGTTCAGATTTTGGAGAGGACCGCTGGTTTGAAAGAGGGGTCAAAGAGGCCATCTAGAAAAAAGGCTATCAAAGAAAAACAAGAAAGTCCAATTGCCTCGTGAAAAGCACCTTTGGGATAACTATCACCTGGATGATTGAGAATCTTCATAGACAAATGGGTTCTTGTAACCACCCTTATGGTAGCCATTTTGCAAGGCTGCTCATGATCTATTCTTAAAATTCCAAATATGCTCATTGGCACACAGTGACTGAGGACACACATCATTACCTCCTCTTCTTGCCCCATTCTCATGTGTGAAATAGCTTTATAAAGTAGTTTCATGTAAAGCTGCACAGTATTATTTTGGAAGGGCAACATCAGTTGGTAATTATACTTTTTAAATAGATTGACTGCCTTAATGGAAGCTTTATTCTAGCCAGATTACTGCAGATAACACAACATTTCAAATGATGTATTTTTCAGCCTAGGTATTGACTATGTTCTATATTGTTTACTATACATGATCCAATAGATGGTATATTATATTCATATAATTATTCAAGCTATTACAAGATAATACAATATATATAAAGAGAAAATATGAAGCAAAATATGATTTAATGTTTAAATTGCAAGCTGATATACACATGGCACAAAATAAACTTAGAGATGGAAAATTAAGAAGCTGCATGAAACTGTATTTAACGTTCCACTAACTCCAGTTTTGAGATTAGTAATTAAGTTCTGTTTAAAATCACCCAGGATAAAATCAATGTTTTCTAAAACAAAAAACAACTTATAGCTGCTGCCAAGCCTTTCATGTCAGATGAGATAAGATAGATATGAGATATAATACTGGAAAACATAAAAAAATATATAACAAACCAAATATTACGTACCAACAAGGAGCCAAACAACATTTGAGTTATGTTCAGTGAGGAAATTTTCCAACTGAGTGATACTAGGAACAATGCTAACATTAGTATTTCTGTCCATTCTTAGAATATTGCAGCAGGGTTTAAATGACTGAAAAGAGAAAAACAAATGGAGTGTCATTTTGAAAAGTGCTGTTGAAGTGATTTGTTTGAGATATATGTAAGAGAGATCAACCACTTTGAAATTAACACACAAAATGCACGTAATAGCCCTTAAGCAGGATATATAGGATGGCAGAAATGCTATTTCATTCAATAGGATTCATAGGAAGAATTTTCATGATAGTGTAATATACACTACACAGCAAGAAATGGAATGGTAGCTTATTAAAGTAAAAAAGAGTTAATAACAAGGTGAAAATAATTTCCTTGCTAAACTCAAAATACATGTTACATTCATATTTAAATATCTTTATTTTCATTTTTAAAGAAACAGTCTCTGAGCAAGACTGGGATTAAAACATTCTTTTGGACCTTGACAAATCCAAACCAAAATCACTTCCTAAAACCATCTGTTCTTCAATTAAAAGCTACAATTACATTTTAAGTACACATATCTTCAAAGCCTGCTATAGCAGACACCAAGAATCCAATAGCAAATGAAATATTAACACATTTTTTATGGCACATCCTTTTGTGAACAGGAAACAATACTAATGTTCCAAACAAAGTAAAGTACGACAGTGAAGTTTCTCCTGCAAAAGAACGCTCTAATACAGGGGTCCCCAACCCTAGGCCACAGACCAGTAGGTGCCCTGTTAGGAACCAGGCTGTACAGCTGGAGGTTAAAGGCAGGCAAGCAAGTGAAACCAAAACCACCACTCCCACTCTGTGGAAAAACAGTCTTCCACAAAACCAGTACCTGGTGCCAAAAAGGTTGGAGACCACTGCTCTAATAAACTAGTGTATTAGTCAAGGCCACTCTATTGACACTAATTTAATAGGATCACCCTGTAGTATACATGGTCTAGTCTAGCTGTGCTGGCTGAGGAATTCTGGGAGTTGAAGTCCACGAGTCATAAAAGAGCCAAGGTTGCCTACCCCTGGTCTAGTCAGTGCATGGGAAGAACTATAGGATGCAATGTGGAAGGGTGGAGGTGGAAATTGCTGTTTCTAACTGCAACAAAGATAGGAAATTGCTTCTTTAAATATGTTTTCTGGGATTTTTATTATTCTTTACTTTTTTCTTTCATATGTTATCCTTTTTCTATTTCTTCTTCTATGATTCTGTAATTTTTAAAATATTACTAAAATATTCTTTTAGAAGAATTTAGTAACTTTAAACATTTTCTACAATTTTATATGTTCTAGTAAATACTAGATCTGCTAATGGGGACAGGTGCATAGACATTGAGAGGAACCTGAATTATTGAATTAATAAATTAAAAAGTGGAATTGGGTTAAAATATATCAATATCTCTGCTTCTTCAGATATTCATGTTAACCATTGCAATGCGGCCTGCATTTCATTTCAGGAGTAGAAATGCATTGTAAATAATTTTAGATCCAAGGAAGATAACTTCTTGAACTAATTCAATTTCCTCCTTGTTGATTTGTCTCATGTCCATCTGCAGCTGTTGTCATTATCTTTGTTTTCCTGAAGTTAAGACTCAATCCTACTTTTTCACTTTCATCCTTGATTTTCCAATCCTTTTTTCCAGATCTTTCTTATTTTCAGACAATAGTGTTGTATCATCTGCATACCTTAAATTATTTATGGTTCTTTCCCCAATCTTCATTCCAACTTTACCCAGTTCAAGACCTAATGTCCACAAAATCACTTCAACATACAGATTGAACAAAAAAGGTGATAAAATACATCCCTGTCTAACTCCCTTACTTATCCTGGCAGTAAAGTGTTCTCACTGTTGCCGCCTGAAAAATGTAGAGTGACTGATGAGTCTGATCAGGTGGGTTAAAACACCAAAATTGTGCAAAGCTGCCCATGTCTTATTGTGTTCTACACAGTCAAAAGCTTTTCTGCAACCAATAACTCTTTTATATCGATTTTAAATAACTTTAATTCATCAATGCAGCATAGCCCGAGACTAATATAGTCTATCAATATGTTTGGGATAATGCAGCTGAAGGTATTAATATTTCATTAATTTCTAATAATATATTAGAATATTTCTTTTTTATATAAAACCAAAGATTATGCTATATGAAAAATCCAAGAGTATAGATATACTCATCAACAGTAGCTCAGATAGCATTTTAAAGAAAATAAGAGAATTCACGGAAAATGCCTTGAGATAGGAAAGCTCAAATTAAGTTAAGCGAGATATTCAAAAAACAATTTCCACAATTCCTTTCAACCTGGGTTTTTATAATATTGGGGGAGAATTTTGAGGCTCATATTAAAATGATATTTATAAAGATACTTTCAGCCTTTATATTTAATAAATCATGGGTTAATTTTTTTAAGTTTACATTAATTAAAGCTATGTTTTCACTAGAGAAAGTTATTTTTAAGAGTCTTTAGGCTACATGACATTTACATACCTCATTTACTTCCTTTTTCTATCGGAACATACAGTATCAAGATAGCTCAACAGGGGGGAAAAAATCAGCTATGGAAGGGAAAGCAGAGAAAATAGAATTAGTTATCTTGGTAAAGATACTATTTTAAAAGCCAGTATGTATGATCAAAGACTAAGATGCACTATACTTGAAAACATTATGGAAAATGTATTTCTATTTAATGGATTTTAATTCTGCCCTACTCCAAAATGACTCCCAACAGCTTAAAAAATTATGGGGGCTGTGTTCATTATCTTATTCTAAATGTGATTTTAAAAAATAGAATATTGATAAAGAATTCTATCCTTTTCCACTAGTGCAAATCAAAAGAAAAAATGAATCTTATTTATAAATATAGTTCTATGTAGTTGAAATATTGTCTGTGCAGTTTATTTACCTGAACTTTCATTATCCAAAGTTATTCAATCAACATCAAAGCATCAGCTATCTCTCTGCTTGTCTTTGATTCCAGAAAAGTTATGAATATATTTTGAATCTTCAATGAGTTGCACTAAGATTTTTTTTACTGTTATATTCTGTAAGCTAATCAGAATTGTGGCAGATCAGAACAGCATATATATTTCGTAAATCAATCAATAAACAGAAGATGCAGCTGATTTAATGGGGGGATTCATTTGTACAAACTTTTTAAATATTTAGCTTGCTTTTTTTCAACTCATTTGCAATGTTGACTACAATAAGTGCACCATGGCAACGATATACCACAGTGTTTCATGCCATAATGATCTATCAGATATATGCATGAGATGAACTTTGGATCTGAAGATATTGTGGATAGTTCTAACAAGTTATCATGCTCTCAATAGACTGAATGACTCCTGTTCTGTTCTAAAGCTGAACTTCAGTGAGATTCCATTTATGGTCTATTTTTCTTCAGAGAGCTACAAGTGACATTGTGACAGCCACCAGGCAAAAAAAAAAAAAGCTTTAAATCGTTTACTTATTCAACACTGTAAAGAGGGATAACTGGATTTTAATGAGGTACAGCATTATTCTTAAAGCCCAATAAACATAGTATTAGATCATCATCNCTTCCTCCCCCCTCTCTCTCTCCCTCCCTCTCTCCCTCCCTCCCTCTCTCTCTCTTTCTCTCTCTTCTCTTTTTCTCTCTTTTTTGAATGGTTTTTTCAGCACTTCCTCAGCATGCTGGGTCTTTGGTTTGTTTTGCTGGAAGGCTGAGCTTAGGACTGTCTCTTTTCCTTCCCACTTTCTTAGAAGTGGTCTAATCTAATACAATAATAGAAATAAAGTGCATTATTTATTTATGTATTTATTTGTTTACTTATTTAGAAAATTTACAATAAATGTAATGCACTTGAATCATCCTGAAATCTTCCCTCTCTCCCCGCCCCAGTCCATGGAAAAATTGTCTCCCATGAAACCGGTCCCTGATGCCAAAAAGGTTGAGGACCTCTGCTCTACAGAACAGCCAAGTTTCTAACATTTGCTAAAATGTTAAAAGTGTAGGATTAATCTAAATGTTGAGAGTTAAAAGATTTTTTTATAAATCAGAATTTACAACCATAAATAAAAAAGAAAAGAACCCAAACCCCATACTTATTTTCTTAGATATTCCACTCCTCCATTAAGCTATATCAGGATTATAAAGCACTGTTTTCCCCAATCTTAGTCTGAATCTCAGCAGCAAACTGGATCAAATGATCTCCACAGCAATCCATACAAGATCCTGCTATTTCCAAAAGTCTAAAATCTAGTACTAAACTAGTTTGACACTGTTCACCTTTTAAATTTATCATGTTTAAATTATATATATACCATACAGGTAGTCCTTGACTTACAACAATTCATTTAGTGACTGTTCAAAGTTACAACAGCACTGAAAAAAGTCACTTATGACTATTTTTCACACTTTCGGCCGTTACAGCATACCCTTGGTCATGTGATCAAAATTCAGAGCGTGGCAACCGACTCATATTTATGATGGTTGCAGTGTCCTGGGCTCATGTGATCACCTTTTGCAAACTTCTGTCAATCAAAGTCAATGGGGAAGCCAGATTCACTTAAAATTTGTAGCAAAAAAGGTTGTGAAATGGGGAAAACTGATTTAACAAATGTCTCACTTAGCAACAGAAATTTGGGGCTCAATTAAGTCGAGGACTATCTGAGTTTCATAACAAAATCCTTGAATATCTATTTCTTAGATATTCCACATTAAAAAATTTGAAGTGGAATAAGCCTTGTTCTTCATCAGCAACTGAATCAACTACTTCACATTCATTGAAGCCTAATTTTCTTTCAAGTAAAAGGAATATTATTACAATTGTGATTCAATACAACCCTTCTCAAACAATTATATGCATTCTATCTCAAAAAGGGCAGAAGAACCAACTCTTTCCAAAACAATTGCAGTGAATTAAATAGAATTTACTCCGAAGTAAACCAAATGTCCATGGTAAATTAGCTCTAAAAATATGCTACAATCTTAAACACACTTGCCATAAAAAATTTCCAATAAACATATTGAGGAAACACTGCTACTTTACAACAATTATATTACACATTTTAGAACACAAAGACTAATTACTTCCTGCTAATATATGGGAAGTTGCAAAATCACAAATGAAATTGTCTATAGCGCATGATAAAACTGAAAGACATACAAGAACCCAGATATTACTGTCCTATGCTCTATTATAGTCAAATATACTTATTTTAAACCAGAAAAACCTGTTTTTGTTTTTAGCCATTATATGTAGAAAAATCTTCCATTATTTGGCAGAATTCATTTTTTTCACATAGATCAGGGGTAGGCAAAGTTGGCTCTTTTATGAGTTGTGGACTTCAATACCCAGAATTCCTGAACCAGCCATGCTGACTCAGGAATTCTGGGGGTTGAAGTCCACAAGTCGTAAAAGAGCCAAGGTTGCCTACCCCTGGTATAGATATTGATTTGCTAGAAAATTTTGAAATATGATATATCGCCACAATAAGTTTGGTTTAATCTATGAAGAAAATAAATTAAAATATTATTGTATTCTGTGTTATCTAAGAACAAAATGCCATGTTTGAAATATATTACTATATAGTTATGTTTCATTTTAAACATGGTATTAAAATCTTTTTTTCAGTATGTCAATTAGGTTTAAAATTATGTTTAAGAGTATTGTCTTCTGCTTTGATGATTCCTTTTCTTATGCTTTCAATAGTTCTTTTATTTGATGCTTTGAAATTTATAAATTAAATTTTCCATTGCAGGCCACCTTAAACACCTTTCTGGACAGAAACATATACATGTGGCAATGTATAAGAAAATACTTTAAAAGACAATTAAATACAATTATCCAACTAAAACCAACCGAGAAACAGAATTATTACCTGAATCTGAAAGCAACTTTAATTGGGTGAAAGATACATATTATCTTATGTATATAGATACTATTTGTATGGCTGCAGTGTTGACTCTGAGCAATTGCCTGTCAAGTCCCTGCAGTTTCTTTGGCAAGATTTCAAAATCAGTTTTCCATTCACAGGACTGTGAGAGTGACTGACCCAAGATCATCCAGTTGGCTTTGTATCTAAGGTGAGATTAGAACTCATGGCCACCATCAAGCCTGATGCCTTAACCACTACACCAAACTGGCTCTCTTGTATAGATACTAGGAATCAGAAAAAAAGCTTAGACCTTCACTCTTCATGCCCATGGTGCATAGCTAAATTCACATTTCAGATTATTTTTAAAAAATCATTTAAATACTCCCATTACATCAGGTGTATTTTACTTGCTGCTTTGAGAGTGCTTAAAGAGACCTGAATGTTATTGACTACAATTTCTATCAACCCCAGCCCAAATGGGAAATGTAGTCCAAAAATAGCCAAAAGGCACCGAATTAAATAACGAAATTTGAAAACGTTATTTCAGTCTGACTGCTTGATTGCAAGAAACCACACACTGTACAACTTAACCAGACAACCAGATTATACCCAGCGGAGCAGAAGGTAAATGACTTGGAAATAAGCACACACGGAAGGCTTCCGTCCTGGGAAATCAGCCCAATCAACAACTCTGCACAACCAGGATGGCCCGTCTTCACGTTTTTCCAAGCATAGCCTATCTTCCAAATGATAATGTGTATAAAGAGGAGCACTGCGCATCGAACTAATCCAGAGGAGGAGGAGGAGGAGTGGAGCTACCTGAGCGGGCGAGAGCGATCAGTTTGGCGCAACTGCGCGCTGTACAAGCAGCGCTCTGACCGGAGTGTGGGAGTGCCCGTCGACCGATGGGGATTTATGAGCTCAAAGGGTAAAAGCAACCGAGCAGCCGCATCGCGCGTCCAGGCACTTCGCCACCGTCGGCCTCTTCCACCTCGGATCTTGAAACGGCCTTAATTAGGGGTGAGGATGGCGAGAGTCGCGACTGGACTCCCGGCAGCAACGCCCCCTCCGCTCGGACAAGCAGAGCCCGGGCATCTTCCTCCTCGCTTCCACCAATAGCCTCTCGTTAGAGAAAGGCCGGGGCCGAAGCCTAGAAAAACTAGGAGGCGCTTTGCCGCCCCACCTGCCGCTGCGCACGAAGGACGGCTCCGAGCAGCCCACGCAAAACGGCCCAGAGCCAAAGCTCTCCCCGCTTACCCCATGGTCTAGTGTTTACATCCAACCCCTCTGCGGTCCTTTACTACGAATCCGGAACCCGGCGCCTCCTCCCCAACCGACGGGGGCCGCGAATAACGGCTAACTCCACCCAAACCTGCCCCCGAAGTCATTCTGCCAATCCAAGGCGCGCTCTCGGATTCACAGAGCAATGGTAACAGTCTACAGTCGGAAGCAGAAGGCGGGGAAAGACCTGATCTCTGGCCAATCGCGTAAGACGAGAACCTTGAAGCGACGCCTCCGTGGAATTTTGAGGTGACGAGCATAGAAAAATAAAGCAGAGTTTCTCAAAAGGCCGAACTTCCGAGTAAACTGAAGACTTTCTTTCTTTCTTTGGCTCTCAAATAAGTTATGGAACTTTCAAGGAGTATAAATGAACTTTGGATCTGGACTGAAAGGAAGCCTTAAACAGATAAATTAAGGAGTCCTAGTATACTGAAGTGTAAGGAGGAGAGGAGAGTTGATGGAAATTCGATCCCAGTACTCGATGAATATATCCCCGCTGTAGTATAGGTAATGATCTCTGCAGCAGTCGGCAATGCAGTCATTAAATCTCTCTTTCCCATAACTGAAAATGCATGGTGTAGAAAAGAAACGAAAGTGGGAGAAAGAGATCGGGCGGTTTATAAAGATGCTTTTACAATCACATGCTCAAAGGAGATAATTATATCAATTGAAAGTGGGAGAAGGAGATCAGGCGTTGTGTAAAAGCTGTTTTTACAATCACATGCCCGAAGGAGATAACTATATAAATTGACTACTTTGGAAATTTATCGTATTCAGTATATGATATTCCGTACAACTCTCAGCTCGCGATTGCATGACATGGTTACCCACGTTCATTCCGATCAATCTTCTAATTTTACATAGGGTTGCCGGATCTGAGCTGTAAAAATTCGGACGACCGCTAGATAGTCCACAAGAACCTTGCTGCCATCTGTATTTTGCACGCAAACGGCTCTTGGCTCTTGAGTAGGATGAGATGCTGAGCCATAAACTTCATCTGTTTTCAAAGCTATGCATAGAGAGCTGTAAATATGTGTGGGTAAGCTATCCCATATAGGCATAGCTATAAATATTTAATCTTTTTTGCTAATATTAAATCAACAAGTCTGTGTTGCAGTGATGAATAATGGCCCACAAACTTATGACGTAAACATGAACTACTCCCTTGATCTATTGTAATTTGCTTAATCAAATCAAATATTTATTACAGTCATAGACCAACTTGAGTGTGAGACACATCAGATTAAAAACTTTGAAAAGCTAGAAGATATAAAAATACATTAAAACAAAATATATATAAAAAAATCTAAAAGAATCTAAAGGAAGGGTAGGAGCATTAGGCAGGTGTAAGAGTACAAAGGTTAGCATGTGGAAAATTACAGAGAACTCTAGTATGGTGAACTAGATGCTAATTAAGCCTAGTTTATAGCACAGGTCATCATCCAAGGAATTTTAAGTGCTGCTGCCTAGATAGAACAAGGCAATGTATGTTGTAGCAGGGTTGGTATCTGAAAGTAATAGAGGTACATCTTCTGTACTTCATATTTATACAGTACAGTAATGGTAAGATAAAGCTAGTACTAATGTCTCCATAATACAGGCACTGAAGAAGAATGTGCTCAGTTGTTTCTGTTTGTACAGAGTCACAAGCTTATTTTCTCTCTGGATAAGCAGTCTTCCTGTACAGGTAGTCCCCGTGTGGCAAACGTTCATTTAGCAAATGTTCAAAGTTACGACATTCGCTGCCAAAAGTACTTACAACCGGGCCCCAAAGTTACATATCTTGCAACATCACAGCGGTCGTTCGCACTTACAAACAACCGCAGAGATGTTGCAACATGCTACTTTGGTACCATGTCTGAGAGTCCCGAACTGCCCACACTCACCTTCTGTGCAGCCTTGGGTGCTGGAGCCCTTGTCTAGCCAGGCAGAGAAGTACCGGCCTGGCCTCTCACCTTCCCTGCCAAGCTCCAGCCTCTCTCATAAGTGGGCGCGGCCCTGGTGTACCACTTGCTGGAGTGCCAAACCCACCCAGATTTCACAAATTGCTCCGTCAAGGAGCTGGAGAGCTTGGTGCACCACCGCCCTGCTCCCCTCGCTTGCCAAAAGCACTCACTCCTTTTCCAAATTGCAATCCTACTCTCCAGCTCTGTGGAGATACCCATTGCAATTTAGGTTAGCTCACACCTGGTTAAAAATGTGAATTTGAATAAGTCCATAGTGATGTGGAGCCCATTAAATGGCTATACAGCTCTTTGAACAGCTGTGCTCTCCTTTAATTGCCTTTAATTGTTTAATTGTTTTTAACATTTGTGGTATTTGTATGGCTGTTACATTTTTTGGGGTACTGTTCATGTTTTAATTTTAAGCTGCCCAGAGTCATGAATGTGAGATGGGCAGCTATCTAAGTTGATGAAATAAAATTAAATAAGCCCACTTCTGTTCTACTGTTTTGCAACACTACAACTTTTGTTTTTAATGCTATTTTCGAAACACTCTCTCATCACTAGAGTTATGTCTATATTTTCTCCACTGATTTCCTAAGACTTTTCAGTGCTTTCCCTAACACTTCTTGCCTTTTCAAAGCAATCTAGGCTCATGGATTTCCTCTAAAGTTAGAGAGAGGCCAGCCAAAATACATTTGTCAGCCCTAGGTAATGTATTTATAGAAATGATCTTTGGCTTTGGCTAAGTAAACACATCTTCCGGATATGACTCTGTCAATTTATAATGGTTATAAGTGGGCAATAGGGAAATTGCTAAGAAACATTGTTATGGCAGAACTGAATTGAAGGGAAGCACATGCTGGCCCCTGCCACTGGCCAGGAAACAAAGGACCTCTGAAAAATTGCATCTGCAGCCTTCCAGGAAAGAATAATGACAAGGGAAATGGCCCATTCATTACTTTGGGAAGAAGCTGCTGGAATCTTGCTTCTCCCATCACTCTTCTTGAAATAAAACTTGACAACAACTGCTAATTCTTCTGCGATTACAAAACTACTACTGTATATTAACCACTAGATAAGGAACCAGTAGATTTAAGAACCATTTGCCTGCAATGATTAGGTTTTTTACTGAAAATGATCATATAAATCTTTAACATTAATGCACATTCGCTGTCATTGGCATCCATTTGATAGAAATGTTTATTTATATTGTTTTTTTATTATTAACAAAACAACAATAGTTATAGGTGTATTAGAAATATATACTTATAATTAAATACATTGCATAATATTTGCACTAGCTAAGTACATATTCAATTATAACTGTTTATTGTTAAAATGATTTATCATACTTTTTCCCTGTCATATTTCTTTCTCTTCTTCCATTTATTATTTTAATAAAATTATCTTATCTATCCATCCAATTGGGATATTAATCATTCATACTGTTGAAAGAAAAATCTGGTTCAGGGAGTAAATAAAATGGAGGCTAGCTGCTTAGGAAAGAAGGTTTAATGATGAGCAGAACCAAGAACAGCATGCAATTCTGGGACAGCTGACCAAATGGATTTGAGAGTAGGTGGGTTTTTGTACCTTCTTAGGGCTTTGTATTTGAGGTGCCTGTTCCTGTGCAATGTACTTTGACCTGTGCTGTTTTGGTATTCTAATTACTGTTGCTTGACTCTCATTGTGGCCGGGAGGTCCTGTCCTGTCCTTGGAGCTGGGTGGGAGAATGTAAATTCTTAATCCCATCAGCTGTGGGGGCTGAAGGCATTTTGCTTATGAATAGTGTACCCCAGTCTTTCTGAATGGATTACCAAATCTGCATTTCTAAAGGGCAGCCTCTTCAGTTTCTGCTTGAGGCAGGAAGACTAGGGCTGGTTTCTGCCTAAGATTTTTTTCCTCCAGTTCTCCTTTAGGGGAAATATTCTTTCCTGCCTTTTTTAATATTCCCCAAAATATTTCATTCTCGGGAGGGGATGCTAACTCCCTACAATACTATTTGATATCAACTTTGCACACATACACAGCTGTAGAAATGGCAGATTGGGCTTCCTGATTCTCCCAAAAGACCTCTAGAGTCTAGATCAGACATGTCAAACAGAAGGCCCATGGTTGGCCTGTATTTGGCCCATGGGGCCACCCTGGAGATGGTGAGGGACTGGCCCCCGCTGCCCAACCCTGCCCAGCCCAGCCAGGAGGTTCCCCAGGTGCACTCACAGAAGGCAGGGAGTGCACTGGGACCAATGGTATCTGGCAGCAGGGGCTCTGCAGCCACTGCAACCACTGGGCCAGCGAGGGGAACACACTCCATGTGTGGGCCAAGGGCAAGACCTGCGAGAGGACTGAGATGACCAACGGCGACCTGCTCTCCAACTGCAAGCAAAAACAGACAGGACGAAGTAGGTGCATCCGGTGGTCCGCATCATGAGCCTCCCCCCCAACTCTGCCTGCTGATGGTGCTACTGCAGCACCTGCTACTTGAACGGACAGTCCGGTGATCACAGCAGGCTGTGGAACCCCAGAGTGCAGGCTGTGGCTGCTGACTGAACATAATCAGCCCCCGCACACTTGCTGTCCTGTGTGCGTGGGGACTGATGGTGTCCAGCAGCAACTGCCCCACCCCTGCCTCACCTAGACTTGCCCCATGGTGGCGGCACCCCTGCCCTGCCCCCTGCCTCACCTCACCTCATCCCATGGGAAGAGCCTCCCGCCCACCACTCCATCTGCCAGAGACCCCTGGATTCACCCCAAACCCATCAGCCCCCACAGGCACCCCCTGACGTGAGCAATGTCGAGGTGGTCATGCCCACCCCAGCCACATCCACCCAGTTAGCCAGGCCCACTCCGCCCCCCAAGGGTAATCACAGTGCTGATGTGACCCTCAAAGAAATCAAGTTTGACACCCCTGGTCTAGATCCTCCATCCACACTCTTCCCTTCCTCTCCAAGCTTATTCAACATGTTGCCATCATTCACTTTAGTCCAGAAAAAGTCCTCCTCTGCACTTTTACTCAGGAGGAAACAAGTGAAAACCTTCCTGCCTTGCCTTGCCTTGCCTTGCCTTGCCTTGCCTTGCCTTGCCTTGCCTTCCCTTCCTTC